GAAGGATTGCCTGAGCCCAGAAGGTCAAGGCTGCGGTGAACTGGGATCAGTCCGCTGCACTCCAGCCTGGGTGACAGAGTGAGACCCCAACTCAAATAAGCAAGCAAACAAACAAACTGCCACATCTGTTTTGTAAAGTTCTTTTCTTTGCAGAATGGGGTGGGAAGAGGTTGTGGTTCTATCCCAGGAAGTGATGGCCTCACAGAGATGGGGCCTGGGTGATGTGGGTTCTCATTGTAAGAGCCTCTCAGAGAAGAAAAATACAGACACGTAGGCCAAGCCATCCAGGACTAGGCTAAGGCAGCAACTTCAAGCCTGCAGCAGAAAGGGCAGGATTTTGCCAAATTTAAGAGGCAGGTTGATCAACCTGGACCTATAGTAAGTACAAAACGACGAGATCAGTTGCATTCAGGGTGGTATGGTCATAGACATAAAATGACGATGGAACAGAAAGTTCTGGATGTCCAGAAGTCTGGACATTATGCCAGGTCTGCTGCTTTCTACTTAAGGGACTTGAGTCAAGTTAGAGAACCTCTATGAATATCCCCATCTGTAAAATGGAAATCAAAAGAGCTGCCTTGCCTACTTCCCAGTACTTGGGAGCGGCGAAGTGTGTTCAACGGCAGGGTTTTAAAATACTCTTCGTGTACATGGACGATTTGGTCCTTCTAGCTGGAACCACACACTCACTGCATGTCCCCAACTTCTCTCATCACCAAAGTGGGCTGTTCACCCCTATTCCTTGGGTCCAGGTGAAAAGATGACAACCAAAGTCCCAACGTGGAGGAGGAGCCCTTGGATGGATGAGTCACGGGAGGGCTGGGGTGTGGTGGGAAGAACCCCACTCCCACTTTGTCATGTCTGGGAGTAGCTGTGCCTCTTCCCTTTTCTCCTGCCCCCAGCCACTCAGGACAGAAGGTGGGAGATGATTCTGACCCAGTGTGGCGGCTCATGCCTGTAATCCCAGGACTTTGGGAGGCTGAGGCAAGAGGATTGCCTGAGCCTAGGAGTTTGAAACCAGCCTGTGCAACATGGTGAGACTTCATCTCTACAATTAAAAAAAAAACATTAGCTGGGCACGGTGACACGCACCTGTAGTTTCAGCTACTTGGAAGACTGAGACCAAAGGATCACCTGAGGCCAGCAGGTCGAGGTTGCAGTAGCTGTGACCGCTGTGGTAGCTGTGATCATGCACTGTAGCCTGGGCGATAGAGTGAGGCTCAGACTCAAAACAAACACACACACACACACACACACACACACACACACACACACACACACACACACAGACTAAATTCCAGAGCTCCACCTCTTGGAGATTCTGATTCACCCGGTGAGTGTGGCACCAGGCTGAGTCACAGAAGGCGATCTGTGCCACCCCTACTTGGCCTTGGCTCCCATCCACCTCCTCTGCCCAGGCCTTGTGAGGTGCCCCAGCAGGGAGGGCCCAGACATCTCAGGTGGCACGAGCCCTGGCAACTGGGAGAAACCTGAGTGCGCCCAGGTTATCCGATGGTGCATCTCCCTCGACCCCGTGCTCACTTCTTGAATATCAAGATCAGGAGTAGGCTTGGGAAGAAGCCCCCAAGCAGCACAGGTCACCCCATAAGCTGCCCAGGGCCAAGCTTGCAGGGCACTGGGGATAAAGGAGGTAGTAAGAACAATGTGTTCCCCTGCATCCTGCACCCAGTCCCTCAGAACTAAAAATGCTCCAGGCTCTCGTGGCCTTGAACACCTTGAATGGCAAGCCTGAAACTGACCTCTTTACACATCTAGCAATTTGGTGGTGAGTTTCTCGAGGCCGGGACAGGTCTTATTCCTCTCTGCATGCCCGGCACAGTCCCTGGCACGCCATTCATGCTTGCTGAATATTTCATGAATAAAGGAGAGACAGTAACACTTACCATGTTACCACAGGGTCAAAGGAGGACTGATATTCACACCCACTGCACACACGGGAAATGCACGTGCTTCCCTCTGGGAGGTGGGGGGGACATTCTTAGTCACCCAGCTAGGGGCTGAGCTTAGCGTGCCTTGATGGGCAGTGGTACTTGATTACTTTTGGCATCATGGCCCCTTATGACATGAGGTATGAAAGTTATGGAGCCTCTTTCTAGAGGAATGCCTTCCCTCACTCTCCTCTCTCTCTCCTTCCTCTCTCCTTTCTCTCTTTCTCTCTCTCTCCTCTCTCTCCCACACACTCAACACACACTTCCCACATATAATTTCCAGGGCAAGAGTATTAGTCCTTCAAAAAATGGGAAAGCTCTTTTTTTATGGATAAATGCCAGTTAATGAATGTAGCAGGAATTATAGAGTCAAGAAATTAATATTTTGCATCCCTCCCTCCCCACTTAAGAATTATTTGGGTTAGCTTGGTGCGGTGACTCAAGCTTGTAATCCCAGCACTTTGGGAGGCAGAGGCAAGAGGAATGCCTGAGCTCATGGGTTCGAGATCAGCCTGAGCAACTTGGTGAGACCTAGTCTCTACAACAAATTTTTAAAAATTAGCCAGGCCTGGTGGCACATACCTGTGGTTCCAGCTACTTGGAAGGCTGAGGCAGAAGGGTCACCTGAGCCCAGCAGGTTGAGGCTGCGGTGGCTGTGAGTGTGCCACTACACTCCAGCCTGGGCAACAGAGTGAGACTCCAACTCAAAAAAAAGAATTAATTTGGGCAAGGATTATCAACGAATCCCAAAACCATTGGGCAAATGATAGGGAAAGGACATTTACTTGGTCTCAAAGCACCACGTTACAGATGATACTCTACTTAATTTCAAGAAAAAGAATGTGCCTGTACAATGGAGAAACTGGGTATCCACCACCTTAGTCAAGTCATTAGCAAATGCAAAATTAGCATTCATGATAGTGTGCCGACCTGGGATTATGGACCTGGAGGTACACAACATCTATGTAGTATTCTTGCTAAAATATTTAATCATTAGGAAACAATCAGACACACATAGACTGTGGGACATTATTCTACAAGTGGCCTTGACTCTAAAAAATTCAGTGTTATTGTTTCAAAACAAAAAGTAAGACAGCTGTTGTAAAAGACATAAAGAGACATAATAACCCAAAATATAACAATTCATTGGACTCTGTGTTTTCTTACCACCACCCCCTGTCCCGCCCCGCCCCGCTCCCCATTCCCCCAAAGAGCCTTTCTTAAGATGTTCTGGAGACCTTTGGAGAAATTTGAAAATGAACTGCATATTACTGAATTAATGTGAGCTTTCTTAGATTGACGACTATAAGAGATACAAGCTAAAATGCTTAAATGTTTAATGTTTAAAATTTAAATTATTTAGCAAAAAAAGAGAGATATCTATCCATCTATTCAAAGAAGAAGTAAATGTGGTCAAAAATAAACAATTGATGAACCTGTAGGGTGACCACCAAGTCTGGACATGGCTATCTTATGTTTTTATAGACTTAAGATGTTCTGGATGACATCATGACTATTTGCCTGTTTCCAGACTTTACAGATATGCTGCAGACAAAGATATATGATTTACACAGCACTATTCTTTCATCTTTTCTGTAGGCTTGAAAGCTTTCAAAATAAAATGTAGAAAATGGGGGGGGGGAAATCTCAGCCCTAGACTAAACTTCTAGCCCCCAAATCAGTATTCCATACTTTAGGAAGGAGCCTGGACAAAGGAGAGGCCCACAGTCAAGGCAGGTTCCAGATGGGTTTATTAGGCAATTTAAATAGAACCCTGTGACTATTTCTGCAGGTAAAAGGACATAGGAGAATTACAAAGGCTCTGAGTCTCTCCTGAATTCTTCTCTCCTCCCTTCCCTAGTTAGCTCCACCCATATTCACTCTCTCAATGTAAAGGCCACAAGGGGAGAGAACCGTGAGGGAACTCAGGAGAATGAGTATGTGTGGCTCCTTTTCCCACCCCCAAATGTATCCTGGCTGCACGTGAAGGAGCGAGGCTCGCCTTGGTCTCTCGCGCTGTTCTGAGGCCAGGAGGTTGCTGTGGTGGACACATGCGTGGACCCACCAGCATGCACCAGTCCTTCCGAGTTCTTGCCTGCACTGCAGGGGCTAGAAGCCTGAGAAAGATATTCCTCGGGACCTCCAGCCAGGACTGACTTGTTCAGAGTGCACTGATGGAAGGCACTTCTAGAGACCATTGCTCCTTCCCCTGCACTGGCAGACAGTAAGCATGAGGTTTTGCAGCACCTTCTGGCCATTTCCTGGAAACTGTCCACCTCTGTGCAGCTGGCAGCTGAGACCACCAACAGGAGTTTCCTGTATCTCCTGCAACTTTCTGATTTCTTATTTTTTTTTTTTTTATTTAAGAGATAGGGTCAGCCAGGCTCGGTGGCTTAGCCTGTAATCCCGTGCCTTTGGGAGGCTGAAGTGAGTCGATTGCTTGAGCCCGCGGGTTCGAGACCCACCTGGGCAGCGAGACCTCATCTCTACAATAAATCAAAAAATCGGCCGGGCGTGGTAGCGCATGCCTGTAATTCCGGCTACTTGGAAGGCTGAGGCGGAAGGATCGCCGGACCTCAGCAGGTCGAGGCTGTGGTGGCCGGGAGCGGCCACTGCACTCCAGTCTGGGCAAC